TACAACTTGCGTGAGCTTGAAGTGCCACAGAGTGCATGGCCCCAAGCTTCCCGACCTCATCTTGGGGCCCATGGTTACACGGTGGTGGCAGCCAATGGAGCAGTCGTTTGCCCAAAAAAATCAGAGTGTACTCCTTTTAAATGAACACTGTTGTTTAAGTCCACTTCAAATCAGCCCTTCCCACAACAAGTTGTTTTGGTCCTGAGGCCATCGAAGTTCTCCTTCGCACCCAAGCATACGTGGTCAAGCGCATTGCTCCTGGAGGTGGAGAGGAGTGCAAAGCGGGTCAAATTAGTTGGAAGAAATGTGGAGGGGCTTTCAAAGCGTGGGGGATGGCAAAAGCGGGGGCCAATTGGCCTTCAGCCTGACCGTCGCTTCTTTCGGGGTTTGCTCTGCACAGTTGTGCCAGAGTGTTTTGGGGTTTTGTCAACACTTCTTGACAACCAGAAGTGAGAGCCCTTGCCTTCTCGGAGTACTGCAGCGATCGAAGTTTCGTGTGTCCAACCCACAAGGTTTTGGAACCTAGACTGCAATGGTGCTATTTGTTTGTTACTTGGCTTGGTAGCTGCCGCCTGAAAGCGCAGGGAAAAGATCCTAGTAGGCCATCGATGCCATCGATCATATCCGCTGAGTTCACAAGCCGTCAGAAAAAAAAGGTCCTCCAAGCGAAGATCAAAGCTGGCTGCAGCAAGCGGTTGCAGAGTGGCCACCAAATACCAAAGTTTCCTTGGATGTCACGCTGTGCGATGGCCTCCAACCTAATAGCGGTGGCCTCCAGCCCAACTAGCAATAATGGCCTCCAACCTAGTAGTAATGGCCCCCCAGCCTACTAACAACGGCCTCCAACCTACCAGCGATGGCCTCCAACTAGTGATGGCCTCCGACCTAATAGCAATGCCCTCCAACCTACTAGCAATGGCCTCCAACGGAGGTGCTCGCCCGGCTCCCTTCTCAAGATCTCTACTTCCAAGGCTGGGGTTTGCGCTCGTGATGAATGTGTCTCAATATTCTTTGAGATTCTACAAGCACAGTGAGCTTGGAAGCCTATCATTTGTGCGTTCGTGATGAAAATGTTAGATAATGTTAGATATTCCATGAGATTCCGCACAACCACAAAAACACAATGCGCCTTCTCACAACCACCAAAACACAATGAGCTTCGGGAGCTTCATCGGTTTTACGTCTGTGATGAACAGACTATGCGCAGTCACCAAAACATCATGAGCTTGAAACATCATGTTTCGATATACTTAAGTGAGATTATTCGCACTCACCAAAAACAATGACCTTGAACGTTTCAATCGTTTCTTCTTCCCACCATTTCCCACCAGTTTCGGTGACCTAGTGACCAGTGGCGGCTCCAAGGCTCCAAGAATCCATCTTCTATAGCCTGCGCAAGTGAGCGAAGGCCAGGGACCGAGGGGGCCTTCTTCAGAAGACCAAACCAACTAGTGACCACCAGTGGCTGGTGATGCATTTCAATCCGAAAATGCTTGGCTCAAACTCAAACCAGTGGTTTTGTTGAGGTCAAGTCTGGAGGCTTACTCTGGTACCATGACCAAGGGAGCAGGGGTTGCTGCCAGGGTGAAGGCTTCGAGAGCCAAGATGCCTTTCCCTGCTGAAGCCCCTACCACTATCCCGTTGTCTTGGAAGCAAAAGCAGCGGGCGTGCGTCAACGCTGGCCTTCGCTGCATGAATGCGCCAATGGCCAGGGTTGCCAAAAACCTAGGTGGCGGTGGTGGTGGCGGTGGATGATCCGGTCTATAGTTGCTGGTTTTAATCGAATGTTGTTGGATGAAGTTCGCTATCCCCTTGGCAGGTGTTGCTGTCTCTTTGCAGCATGGTGTTTTCGCTCCCGCATTTGAAGTGGGATGAGCCTATAGATCACTTGGAGCTCTTCGCGGGGGTGTGCAGCATCAGCCGCGGTGAGTGGGAGGATTTTGGGGGTCTCCTTAGGTCAAAGTCGTCTTCATAAATGGGTCACCTATTTCTTTTAAGAAAGGGAACCCTTTTTAAGCGAGGATCCTTCTTGTAAGCTATCCTTGTTGGTTTTCATAGAAGCCCTTTCCTCAACACAATATCAGCCTTTGCGTCCCCCTGTATAGGAGAGACGTTCTGCGATCGCCATGGACTTGAAGTTTGGCGCAGAGCAGGACATACTGTCAAACGTTGGCTTCTGCAACATGGTTTACCAAGTGCTGAACTTGCGCCCGGGTGCTGCCATGTGGGCAGCGCCAGTTTGTTCGACTTGGATCTATTTGAGCTTAGGATGAGCGCAGGAACCTTTGTCATGTTTCACTTGAGGGCTCATTGTCTATAGGACATTTTGGCCCTTGTTTGTTGGTTGATCGTTTGCTTGGATTGGAGCTTCCACCTCTCCACCTTTCTTGAAATGGCTAAGGTCTAGAGGCTCCACTCATCGATCGACGACCAATCCAATGGGTTCCAACACCGGGGTCACGGGCCTGCACAACTTGATGGTGGGGCGTGTGGTTGTGCTCCTTACACTAGCGGTGGCAAAAGGTGTATGGTGGCGGCTTGAACAGCCAAGGGAGAGCGTACTGGAGGGGCACTTGCTCTTCCAAGCCATGCTTCGGCTCCTGCATGTCCACGTCACACGAATCTCGACTTCCCTTTGCTGGTTTGGATCGGACACGACTAAGCCTTTGTGGATCTATTCCAGTAGCCTGATTTGCATTTGCCTGTGCTAGTTTCCAATCTGGCCCCACAACCTCACACACGTCACAAAAAACAATTGTTTAGTAAGATCTACCTGAGGATATGGGGGTCAGATTGGGAACCTTCCCAAAATAGAATAGCATCTGCCTGTTCACTTCTCATTCGTGTCATGTCAACCTAATATAGAAAACGGTGAGTAGAACAAACATAAGGCTTTGTGGGGTGGAAGATTGTGGTAGGTCATGGAGTCATGGAGGATGCTCTTCCCATTCTTGTGACAGCCAAATATCTTTTATTCAGACAAGCTTTCCCGAGGTAAGCCAGAGGCTGTGGATTTCAACGACTTTGTGGACAGGACCTGGAAGCCGCCCAACAAGAAGAAGCTGGTGGTCAAGTACAAAGACTCCAAGGGCAAGAACAGAGTCAAAGGAAGTGGCGCCCTAAAAGCGAGCGAAGCCTATCCACGAATGTGTTTTGGATAAATCTCAGAAATACTTTTCGGTTCATTGGGTCTGGGATTCATGGGGTCTGGCAGTGGGTCGTGGTACCAGCTCACCCACCAGCCACCCCTTCTTCACTCAAACCTTTCCGATCGCCCCCCTCCCAATCCCACATGATGCCCAGGCTCGGAAAAGGAGTGGCTCGCGTCACCACCAGGTATCGAATGCGGCACCACCGGGAAGCGCGGCAGTTCCTGCGTGCAGCGCTGAGGGATGACAGGGCTGCTGCAGAAAGCAGTTCTAGGGTCAACAAGTTCTGGGTTGACCAGGCCAACCTGACACCTGTGCTGGCATACTTAGGCCAGCAGTAGCTCACCTATGACCTATGCTCCCATTTAATTTGACAGGTCGTTGTGGAATAGCCGCAACACCAACAGTGCAGCATTGAAATCACAATTAGCTGCTAGTTAGCTGTGGTGGGACAGTGAAGCCGGGAACAAAGAATTCGTCCTTCATTCTGCAGAAGCGGGTTGGCCATGGCCACACAAACGACCCCCCAATGCTCCTCCAAACCCTGACCCGTTTGCACTGGTATCTAATGAGTTGTAGAGTCGATCTGGTCGCCCAACTAGACACGCGTGTTTCTTTAGCTCAAAGGGTGCCAGTTGTTCCTGCACATTGAAACACACCATATTGGCCAGGTCTTGGAATGCCTCGATTGGTGCTCAAGAAATGTTCCACAAAGCGTCGAGGCCATCAGGGCAAGTGATTGGCGAGAATTTGGGGTGATTGGGTCAGAAATTCAATAATTTCAAGAATCTGGCACACAGGAAAACAAAACCTAGACGCAACATTAAAAAACATACATTTTTGGTTCAGAACGCTTATGCGATTGGGAGAGATTTTTGTGCGATTTGTTGAGAATTCATGCGATTTGGAGAACACACTCAAAAATAGCAATTTGCCGCCGCTGCACCACTAAATCCATACAGAATCTTGCACTTCAGTGTTTCTGATTCCTCCTGCTCCTGCAGTGTCAGATCATCAAGCTGTTCCTTCCTAGTTTGACTGGCAATGGCAAAAGCCAAGGCTAAACAACCGCAGGCTGCAGTCCAGGTGCGCAAGTCTGCTCTCAAAAAGCCAGGGGGTGAACCAAAGCCAGAGAAGCGGGTAAAGATTGATCCTGCAATCAAGATCATGAAAGGATCAGAAAAGAAAGGCACAAAGAGCAACGATGGTCACAAGGATGACAAGAAAAGAAAGGCAGACAAGATCAAGGCTGATGTTCTGAAGGTTGCGGAAGAAGCGAACCGCCAGAAAGCGAAGACTGCCAAAGGTTCCAAGAAGGTGTCTGATGGCAATACCAAGACAGAGGACAAGAAGAAGGCAAAGGAAAAGGCCATGGCAGAAGAGCAGCAGACCAAACACAAGGATCCCCAGGAGCCACAGGAGACAAAGGAGAAGAAGCCCAAGAAGGAAGAAGCGAAGAAGGAGGTCTCCAAGAGCACCAAGGAGGAGAAGATGGCCCACAAGAAGAAGGACTCTGATAAGAAGACCAAGACAAAGCAGGATGAGACTGCGAAGACCAAAGAGGCAAAGAAGGAGAAGAAGACTGAGGAGAAGAACAAGGATGGCAGCAAGAAACAAAAGAAGGATGATGGGGAGCAGAAGGAAAGGTTGAAAAGGTTACAGGAAGCTGCCTTGCGATGCAGCGTGCCTGCCCCATCAACACCGCCCAGGAAGCGGCACCGAATGAAGTCGCCAGCAAGCAGCCTGGGCACTGTTCAGACTGATGCAAGTTCTGAGCATTACGCAGAGAAGCAGGCCAAGGCTATGGAAGCCCTTGGTGACAAGTTGGAAGATGCTGCTCTACTTGCTAGTGTCAGGGCTGAGTTGGATGCAACTGACATGCTGGGCCTGCTTGATGACCTCAAAGACCATGCAAAAGCACCGTCCACATCGGAGAGCAAGCAGTTGGCAAAGCTCGGCGAGGTTGGGGAGGCTGAGAACAAGCTTCGCAAGAGGGCAGCAAAGCAGCTTGAGCAGGAAAGTGAGGAGGAGGGTGAGGGTGAAGAAAAAGAGAAGGACGCCTCTGATGAAGAGAGCCAGGATGGTAGCGAAGCTTCAGAAGAAGACGAAGAAGTCGAAGCAGAAGCTGATGAGCAAGATGACAAAAGTGAAGAGGAGGAGGAGGAGGAAGAGGAGGAGGAGGGAGAAGGACAGAAGGATGCCGACGAGGCAAAAGAAGATGAAGATGAAGAAGATGGTAGCGACAAGGATGAAAACGCAGAAGACTCGGAGGAGGATGAGGCCAGCGATGCTGAAACGGAAGGTACAGCATCAGAAGACGAAGATGACCAGGAGGATGGGGAACAGGAGGAGGAGGATGAAGAGAAAAAGGAAGAAGGGAGAGTTGGCTGAGTCTATAGCGGCAACGGCGGACAAGAGTAAAGAGGTTCGCAACAGCAACTGTGCTAATTGGGGTGACATCATTTTCTTTTTCCAATTTTTTGCACTCCAAAGAATTTGGTGTGGGTCTTTAAAAAAAAATTTCGCCACCAAGGTACAACGCACAAGAAGGAATGGGGCCGCTTTGATCGACAAACCAAGGGAGGTGCGTTCCCTACTGCGCTCATGCCTTTCCTGCGAAAGAAGAAGGCTGACCTTTTTGGCCTTTGGTTGGACCATGAAGGTGATTGGGACAAAGTTGTGGTCGAAGTGGATCGTTTGCAATCCACTACCAATTTGAACCGGAAGCAGTGGACGGCCATCCAGGCCAAAGACCTACAAAAGTCCATGCCTGAGGACCGCTTCAAGGAACTCATCAAGAAGCGACAGGAGCAGGGGCTGTATTACGCTGATGAGGATTGGCCGGAAGATCCCCAGGACTGTGGTTGAAAAAATTGCGTGTTTAATGTCATCATCTGTGTGAGTGAAGGGGGTTTAGAATCTCCATGTATTATATGTAACCGCCCAATGATTCTGAACCAAAAAACGCATTAACTAGCGTCCATGTGAAGAAATGTCAAGGGTTCAGCCATCCTTTCCAGGAGACATGGTACTATATGCCAACTGGCAGAGTCATCCGCCAAGAGGACTCCACTTCTGAGACCCTCAAAATGTCTGCCACGCGGAAGGTGGGTACTGAACTCCAGGCCGCCCTTACCGGAGAGGACGGTCCTCTTCAAAGCGGCGCCTTGCCCGCCATCCGCGCAGCTTCAGAGCAAGGCGCGAAGCATCTTTATTCAGCCTTAGATGACGAGGGAAAGAGCATTGTGAAGCCAAAGAAGCCAAAGAAAGAGAAGGAGGAGGGAGAAGAAGTTAAGCCAAAGACTCCCTTAGAGTCCTAACCTCAGGGTACCAATGGTTCAGTGGTTATGTGAAAACATTGCCTCAACTGGGATACTATTGAAGGTTTCAATCACTCTGGTGTCCTCAAATGACACTTCGAAGTTTCAAAAATGCGACGTCGCCCGCGTTTCGACCTAGTAGTGATGGCCTCCAACCTAGTAGTGATGGCCTCTGACCAAAGCCATGGCCTCCACCCTTAGATGGGTTTATATCTCTCCACTTTGAATCTATAATATGTCGATCGACCTGCTTCATGATCGATCATGAAGCGATGACCTGCTTCATGTTTTATAAGGATATCTTGACTCTGTTCATGAACATATTTCCTGAATCTGTGTACAGATAAATCTATCTATATATATATATATATATGTATGGAAAAACATTGAACATCCTCTTCATCCCACACCGCCGGAACAAGAGTCAAGGTCGCAGTTGCCATCCGCCATGCTTCATTGCCGTGCCAAGGTTGGGCCGAGATCTAGTTCCAGCAGTCCTCGATGAGGCAACAAAGGCACGGACGAAAGGTATCCAGCTCAAGGGTATGGAGTTTGCTGACCAGCTATCAAAACAGCTTCTGGATCATGGGTCTGCCATGGAGGGGTGTTACTCTGATTTGAAGAGTGCTGTTGAAGCTACATCGCCCAATCTCGACAAGATCAAAGCGCTGATTTCGAAAGTGCAGATTAAGAGGGACTGGTTCAAGAAAGCTGAGGTTGGGGTCATGGCCCAAAGATTAAAACATACATGAAAAAACATGAACGCTGGAAAGGATGTTTTTGGATTTTGAGTTTAGTTCAGGGTTGCCCAATCCAAGCAAAAGAAGCGTGTTGAGACACCCCAAAGTGTGTGGCTCACCACTGGCAGCCCCTGAGGCATCTGCTGCTGGAATGATGAAGGGAGGTGCCGGTAAGAAGAGTGGCAAATCAGCGAAGGCTAAGGCGAAAGCCAAAAGTGTAGGGTCATGATGGCTACCTGCGTTTTGATTTGGGGTCTAGCCATGCTCACCATGAGCATGCAGGGGGTCAGCGTAGCTGACTCAGAACGTGTCAATCTCAAGACTGCTTGATGCGAACTGGAAAATAAACACCCGTTTTGGCTGCAGATTTAAAAACAGCTATTATCGCTGTGATTTGTTTTTGTTGGAAGAAACAGCTTGGCCAAGTGAGCTTTGCACCCACTGTCACCCTGATCGAGGGCACCTCTTTGCTCACCGTGGCCAGGTGAACCAACCAGAAGGAAACGGCAAAGGCTGGAGTCCGCGAAAGACAACTCTGGCGCAACGGTCAACAAGCTGTTGGAATTGATCGGTAGAGGGGAAACCCATGTGACCACTGCGGCTGAAATAGCTCGAGTTATTCAATCTGATTTTGGAGATGCGGTGAAGGGGATTGAACATCTTGCCAGCTGTGGAACCCGCGGAAAACATTCCAGCAACACAGAGCGTGATTTTTGGGCCTGGGCAAAGGGCGCCTACAACTTTCATTTACAGCCGTATCAAATCAAAGTCCATCTGCATGTGGCCTAGCTAGATTTAGTTTTATCTCTTTGTGCCCTTTGATCCCAAGTCTAAACTCCACAGGTTCTTTTCCTGCGTCCCAGTCTCCATGGATGCTTCGCTGCCCAAGGTAGATACCGGTGAAGATCCTCGGGAGTGCGTGGCCAATGTACTTCTGCCACACGAAGTGTTTGGGGCTTTGTACGCAAGGGATCCGGATCAGGTGCGGTCAAAAACATATGCGAGAGATTCTGTGTATATTTTTTCATGTCCTGGCAAACCGCCATTCAAAACTCTGAGTTTTAGATCGTTTAACAAACCCTGCCAGTTTACCTACTTGATGTGTGGAAACAATGATGGCCTGTCCATATTGCGATTCTGAACCCATATCAAATCATTGTCGGAATACAAACATCACCAGGTCCTGCACTCCTTGTCGGACGACAAACTCAAGAAATTGGTCCCATGCTGTGTGCACGGCGATGGTGCCGAGATGTTTCGGGGTGATGAGTTTTTCATTATGAACTGGAGCTCAGTTTTTGGGGCTGCAGGGCATGATTGTCTAGTGGGCCGTTACCCAATATCAATCGTGGCAGAACGCCAGATGAAAACGGATGAAGTCTTTCGATTCAATAGCAAATCCTTTTGGTGAGGTTTCCTCCAACACACGTGTTCCCGGAAACTTATTCAGTTGACCTGTTGAGGCAGCTTTCATTCTTCTATACATTTCGTTAAACTGAGGTTCGTGAGGGCGTCAACAAAACGATCGCTGAAGTGACAGCATGGTCTCTCCACTATGCAGCATTGGGCCGGTACCCAGACCAAGGGTTCTATGGAGAAGCATTTGAGAAGAATAGCTACAGGGAATCTCTATGTGGGAACCGCATAGCAGGCAATTTCAAGTCTCTAGCCATTCGAAAAGCACATGTTTTTTTATATTGGCCACCAAAAGTAAATCACTACTAAGAATGTATTGGAAACCGTTTCTATCTATTTGGGGACTACTAATGTACTGGAAACCGGTTCTATCTATATAGGGACTACTGTACTATACTCTTTCTCATGTCGGAGTTGTCTGATAGTTTGAATCAAGTTGGAGCAAGGCTCACCTATTTCGGATTCAAAGCAGATCTCAAAGCTAGACACCAGTGTCATTTGCTTTCAGACTACTACCTCTGCAAAAAGATGTGTGACCGGTGCAAAGCAATTCAGCCTATGACTTCGGCTCCTCACCCTATGACCTACAAAAACATGGCTGACAACGCACCATACGTGACAACCTGCAAGGATCACGGCGAGTACCTGAGAACTGCTCGTCGAATTACACCGTGGATTGCTGTGGAGGGGTTTCAGTTCGAGACCATTTCATTTGATGTGATGCACCTTATCTTTTTGGGTGTTGCAAGAAACCATGTCCCCTCGGTCCTCAAATTGTTGAAAACTTTTGGCTACCACTATTCCCCAGCAGAGAGCGACGAGAAGTTCCTACAGCGGGTGAGCTTGGAGATGAAGCAGGATTGTAAGGATCACGGGTTTCCTGTTCAAATTCTATCGCCTAGTTTTTTGTGTGTTTGGAACCTTTGCGCACTAGTTTTGTTTTTGGCACGGTCGCCAACCTGAGATCCCAGGTTGTACCTTCCTAAGCGCCTCTTGTCAGTTTCCAACACCAATTCTTTCGGCCAAGATGACTACTGCGAGCTTTCGTCTCGCTTCAAAGCTCAGCGCGTAAAGTTGATGGTCTGGTGGGTCGCCGGAAAGGTTCAAGATGTTACGAAGCGTTCTGACACTCACTGCATAGAATAAATTTTCATGATTTGTTCAGCTGAACCTCTATAGAGCGTTTTGCATTACCGCAAGCGCCTAAAGCCGACATCTGAGGAAGACCCGATCATTGTCTTGCTCCAGCTTTGTAC